TCTGTTCTCTGATAAGCTTCACTGCTGGGGGAAACGTGTCTGGGGCTGCAGGTTCTGTTGGCTGCCTCTGCAATGAGCAGATTATGCAAAACAGATGTTGTGTCCCCATTCCGTCTCTGCTGTCAGGAAAGCTGTGTTCAGAGCCACGCGGCGCCTGCAGCCTCCTGCTCTGCGGAAATGTGTGTGTGAAGGCTCCTGGCTTTCTTTGTTGACATCTGACTGTCTGTGCCTTCCAGTCTCATCTTACCTCCTGCTCAGTAAACGGTTTCTGCACGGGCAGGAGCCAGGTCGAACAGGTCCATAAGCGGCTTTTCTATAGTTCTCCCTAGAGCAGAGGTTTGAGATTAGGGTGCCTGAATGTTGGCTCGAGGAGGACACAGACCTCCTGAATTCATGTGCAAAATCCATGTGTGTATGTGTCTTTCTGGGAAGTGGTTCCTTATTTTCATTGGATTTCCAAGGGGTTCCGGAAGCCACGGCAAGGTCAGACAACACCTGGCTATATGATGGGCCCCGAGAGGCCACCAAATGGAACCTTCTGCCTTCTGCTCTGTGGAATATTCTTCTGGCCAAGAGCCACCACTTCCCTGACCCTGGCCTTTCTCTTCCCCACTGTCACCAACAGGGACACAGGCTTTCCACCGGGCACCATTCCTCACTGAGAACTGCTCTCAGGGCTCCCCGAGCCTGTTGCTGTGACTGCGTGGCGGCAGCTTGCAGAAGACATGCCCCGCTCTTTGCTTTGTGAGATCCTCTGCTCGATCCCTGACCCACAGGCTGAGGCTTAAATTCTAGTCACGCAAAACTGGGTGGTGGTGACTCACCCCTGTAATCTCAGTGCTTTGGGAGGCCGAGTGAGGCATGGGGTCATGAGGTCAGGAGTTCAAGACCAGCCTGGCCAATATGGAGAAACCCTGTCTCTGCTAATAATACAGAAAAATGCTCTGGTTTCTCTTCATAACGAATAAATATTTTGCCTTTTACTAAAGATTTCCATGGAGAGGAACAATTATGAGTTTATAACCTGATTTTTTGAGGTCCTGCTTAGGCAGGGCTTATTATAAAAAATAATAATAATACAAAAAAATTAGCTGGAGGGGGAGGGTGGGCAGAAAAAAAAAAAACTAGCCAGGCGTGGTGGCTACTTGGGAGGCTGAGGCAGGGGAATTGCTTGAACCCGGGAGGCGGAGGTTGCAGTGAGCTGAGATCATGATAACTGCTGACTGCAGCCTCAGCCTCCTGGGTTCAAGGGACCCTCCCATTTCACCCTCCTGAGTAGCTGGGACTACAGGTGCCATCACACCTGGCCAACTTTTCAATCGTTTGTAGAGACAGAGTCCCACTGTGTGTCCAGGCTGGTCTTGAACACCTGGACTCAAACAATCCTCCCACCTCAGCCTCCAAAAGCACAGGGATTACAGGCATGCACCATCATGCCTGGTTACTTTTTTGTATTTTGGTAGAGACAGGGTCTCGTCATGTTGCCCAGGCCTCGAACTCCTGACCTCAAGTGATCCTCCTGCCTTGGCTCCCCAGAGCGCTGGGATCACAGGCGTGAACTATCCTACCTGGCCCTAGTTGTTTTGTCCAGAAGCCAGATTATGGAATCTAAATGGGTCATCCAGTGGCTAGCCAAATCCAAACAGGTACAAGTCCAAAAGCTGAGCTCATTGCTGACAGCAGAATCTCTCCCAGAGAATCGGCCGTGAGCCATTCCAGAGGCAGTGGGTGGGCAACTGCCTAGGGTTATATTCAGTCCTCACGGCCATGGGACGGGGATGTATCCTGATTGTTTAAAAGTCCTGATGGGAGGCAGAGGTTGCGGTGAGCCGAGATCGGGCCATTGCACTCCAGCCTGGGCAATAAGAGCGAAACTCCATCTCAAAAAAAAAAAAAAAAAAAAAGTCCTGATGGATGGCCGGGCACAGTGGCTCACACCTGTAATGCCAGCACTTTGGGAGGCCAAGACAGGCAGACCACCTGAGGTCAGGAGTTTGAGACCAGCCTGACCAATATGGTGAAACCTAAAATACAAAAAATTTAACTACTAAAAATACAAAAAAATTAACTGGGTGTGGTGGTGCATGCCTGTAATCCCAGCTATTCGGGAGGCTGAGACATTGCTAGGACCCAGGAAGTGGAAGTCGCAGTGAGCTGAGATTATGCCACTGCACTCCAGCCTGGGTGACAGAGCAAGAGTCCATCTGAAAAAAAAACAAAACAAATAAACTCCTGATGGAATTCAGATGCAGAGATGAAGGAGGTAGAACTTGGCATGGTAATGTGGCTGCCTTGGGCTTTCTTGACCTGATGTCTTTGGCTATTTGCTCAATCTGATTGTCTTTAATTGAGTTTCTTAGTCATTGAACAGCTTTGTGGGTCCTTTGAGTATTTCCAAATTGTGTGGCAATGTCGTTTTTCACTATAAATGAATCAACTGGCCTTCTGTGTGTGTTTTGAAAAATTACAGGGCCGGGCGCGGTGGCTCAAGCCTGTAATCCCAGCACTTTGGGAGGCCGAGGCGGGTGGATCACGAGGTCAAGAGA